GCAGCACTGCAGCCTCGACCTGCTGGGCTCCGGCGATCCTTCCGCCTCAGCCTTCCCAGTAGCGGGAACTACAGGCGCACGCTACCACACCTGGCTAATTTTTAATTTATTGTAGAGATGAGGTCTCGCCAAGTTGCCCAGGCGGGTCTCGAACCCGTGGGCTCAGGCAATCCACTCACCTCAGCCTCCCAAAGGCACGGGATTACAGGCTGAGCCACCGAGCTGGCTTCCCCTCCTTTTTAACTTTCTCCTTGGTGATCCTAGAGGGAGGAGAGTTGTGGCCTTTTGTTAAGTATTGTGCCAGAAGGCATAACCCCAGTACCACCTCAGCTTACCTGCTCTCCTGTGACCAGTCCTGATTTGCCTGCAGGCCCCAGAAGAGGGTGGGAACCTGGAGATGGCAAGACTGCTGGAGTACATTTCCACCGGCTGTGCGTGAAATGGGCCAGCCCCCATACATGGCAGCTTCTCTCCTGACGACATCCAACATGACATCAGGGCCTGAGGCTGCAGGAAAATTCCGCAGCCTGACTGTGCTGAGTCATGCTTGGTCTCTAGGGATATGTGTGTCACCTTTCCCACGTCTGTCACTGGTCAGCTGCAGTCACTATGGACTGATGGTGTGCCCCATTTCTTATGTTTGCATATCAGTTTATGCTTCTCTGAGCACCTTCTCTGACTACTGTGTGTTTATTGATATGAAATGCATTAATATGAAATCATTAATAAGTGTTATCTATATTGGAAAGCACTTTTGATGGGTGAGGAAATGGAGACTCAGAAAGATTAAGTGACAGCGAGTTTCAGGTGACGGGTGAATCTGGGAGAGGTTTTGGATACATCTACCCCACCCCTGAATTTTTGTGTCTTGCAAAGATTATTCTAAGGATTACTTTGGTTGAAAAAAATGTTCCATTTGTTAAAGCTATGAATGCAAAAATCGAGTTCTTTCTTTAAGGGCTGGTCTTTTAAATTGAGCTGTTAAGTGTAGCCTACACATCTTTTGTTCTGTTTGTGAGTCTAGGAAATGTTAACAGTCACTTTGAAGGAGCTTTGGATGAATGGTTGGTCCCATTTGCAAACTTAATTAAACTCATTTGAAAATTTTGAATTGAATTTATAAATTACATTTAACTTCCTTTAATTATTTTAATAGTTCTTCCATTTGTCTGATTAAAAAAAAAATCCCTAATACTTAACTCCTGTAAATCTAATAAAGTAAGCTGACTCTGAACATTTTCTTTCCTATGCTGTTTATATTTCTTTTTTTTTTTTTTGGGTTGGAGTCTCACCCTGTCGCCCAGGCTAGAGTGCAGGGGCACGCTTCCGGCCACCGCAGCCTTGACTTGCTGGGTTCAGGCGATCCTTCCGCCTCAGCCTTCCAAGTTGCCGGAACTTCAGGCGCGTGCTACCACACCCAGCTAATTTTTTTATTTATTGTAGAGACAAGGTCTCACCATGTTGCTCATGCTGGTCTTGAACCCGCGGGCTCAGGCAATCCTCTTGCCTTGGCCTCCCAAAGTGCTGGGATTATAGGTTTGAGCCACCGCGCCCGACCTGGACTGCTTTCTGTTACCATAGATGAGTTTACATTTTCTGGAATTTTTTATAAATGGACTAATACAGTATGTATTCTTTTTGTCTGCCTTTCACTCAGCATAATTCCTTTGCAATATGCCCATGATGTTGCATGTATCGGTAGTTCATTTCTTTTTATTTTCTTTTTATTACTGATTCCATTACATGGATATAACATTTATCCATTTACATCCATTCACCTGTTGTGGGTCATCTCAGTTGCTTCCACTCTTTTTCTGAGTTAGAGTCTCACTCTTGTTGCCCAGGCTAGAGTAAAGTGGCATGCTCACGGCCACCACGGCCTCGACCTGCTGGGTTTAGGTAGTCCTTCCGCCTCAACCTTCCAAGTAGCTGGAACTGCAGACGCACGCCACCATGCCCAATTAGTTTTTGTGATTAATTGTAGAGATGAGGTCTCACCAAGTAGCCCAGGCTGTTCCTGAACCCCTGGGCTCGGGCAATTCTCTCGCCTCGGCCTCCCAAAGTGCTAGGATTACAGGCTGAGCCACCGTGCCTGGCCCTGCTTCCTCTCTTTAGCATTTACAAATAAAGCTGCTGTGAATATCAGTGTATAAGTCTTTGTGTGGACATGTATTTCCTTTTGTCTTCGGAAGATGCCTAGGAATGGAGTGACTGGGTCCTATGGTAGATGTATTAATATTTGTAACTTGCAATGCCAAACTCTTCCAAAGTGGTTTTACTATTTTACATTCCTGCCAGCAGCATGTGAGAGTTCCAGTCCCTGTATATCCTCCCCAGCACTGGGTATGGTCGGTCTTTTTATTTTCATTTTTGAATTGGGGTCTCACTCTGTCACCCAGGCTGGAGTGCAGTGGCACGATCACTGCTCACCACAGCCTCGACCTTCAGGGCTCAGGCGAACCTTCTGCCTTAGCATCCCGGGTAGTTGGAACTACAGGCACACGCCACCACTCCCCAGCTAATTTTTAAATTTTTTATAGACACAAAGTCTTACTATGTTGCCCAGGCTGGTATCAAATTTCTGGGCTCAAGCAGTCCTCCTCCTCCGACCTCCCAAAGTGTTGGTATTACAGACATGAACCACTGCTCTCAACTGGCCAGTCTTTTTTAATTTAGCTATTTTTAAAAGTATATGGTGATGTTATGGTTTTAGTTTAAATTTCCCTAATGACTAATGATGTTGAACATCTTTTCATGGGTTTGTCACCTGCCAATACTGATTTTAAACTTAGTAAAATTCCTACTTAAAATCAAAAGTTTAGGGTAACCCCTACGGGTCCACTCCCACTGTGGAAGCTTTTCTGTCCTCTCAATAAATCCTGCTTTCAAGAAAAAAAAAAAATCACAAGTCTAGGCTGGGTACAGCTGCTCATGCCTGTGATCCTAGCACTTTGAGAGGCTGAGATGGGAAGATCACCTGAGCCTAGAAGGTCAAGGCTGCAATGAACCATGATTGCATCACTGCACTTAAGCTGGAATGACAGAGCAAGATCCTGTCTCAAAAAAAAGTCACAAGTCTAAACCAATTATTCAGTTACATGCTTTAATTGGAATCTCAAGACTGATTGGTTTGTTTTTTTTTTTTTTTGAGGTGGATTCTCACTCTTTATAGCCCAGGCTGGAGTGCAGTGGCATGCTCACAGCTACCGCAGCCTCTGTCTGCTGGGCTCAGGTGATCCTTTCACTTCAGCCTTCCAAGTAACTGGAACTACAGACGCATGTCACCATGCCTGGCTAGTTTTGTGTGTGTGTGTGTGTGTGTGTGTGTGTGTGTGTGATTTACTGTAAAGATGAGGTCTTGCCAAGTTGCCCAGGCTGGACTTGTTACTCTTAAAGTACGTAAAGTTACCTGTAAAGTACATAAAGTAACAGGTAACACAGAGGTTTCTTTCTTTTTTTTTTTGAGTT